TGTGTCTCCCTCTCTCTCTGACCCTCCCCCACTCACACTCTGTGTCTCTCAAAAATAAACATTAAAATAAAAAAATATCTATTGAGCACACTCTTAGTTTCAAAAATATAATGCATGAGAAAGACCCTACAGATTCCAAGGCACCTTGGTGCTATTTACAGAATCTCTAGGCTACCTGAAAAGCTGCTCTGACTTCCCTCCCTCCTAATCCCGTTCAAAAAGAGAAGCTTCGAGGCCAGTAATAATGAATAATTTTATTAACGTTTACCTTGTCTCCGACAGTGAACAAAAGAACAGGTACAGGAAACAATTCTCTCTGGTCCCCAAACTGCATACCAAAGAGCCCGCCATCGTGAAACAGTTTTTGCTTTTATTTGTATATTTGGTATTTTACGCTTAGAGGGTGGTTACAGATAGGGGAAGAGATTAGTAGTAGGTTATAATTAAGTACAGTCTTCATCGTTTTGGTTCATGGTCATGACAACAAACTGCAAAAGGAAACCTCTCAGAGGGATGTTATAAGCCTGTTGACTTCCTGTGAGTATCAAACGTCTCACCGTTGTTCAAGATTGGCCAAGAAAGCGCAAAGGACAGACCAAAGCTCTTCATCCAAAACTTGAAAGGCAGATGCGGGGAGGCCCCGGCCGGATGCTCCCAAGGACGCACGAGGGGGTACAGCCCAAGCAACTGGCCATCCGTTAGGTCTCCCTGCAGCTCTGCGGTTTCATGGCTGTTCGTCTGGCGAACCGGGTCTGGGGAGCATGGGGCACACCAGGTGACGGCCACCTGTGACGCACGTTGGACTGCTATCCCGTATGGAGGATCCTTTAGAGATCCCAGGATGGGACACCTTGTCGGCTTCCCCTCCCGACTTCCCGGAAAGAAAACTGGCAAGAAGTCCACTGGGCAAGACCCACCCCATTCTCCATCAGACCGAGGTGCCAGGCGCGCGCACGCACACACACACACACACACACACACACACACACACACACACACACACGACACTGGGCCCCGGCAGGTCCCACTGCGGTTAACATTCAAAAAACAATCCTTGCACAGGCTAGTGGCCCCACATGACCTCAGGAGCCATGTGGAATCTGAGAAGAGGGTGGAGGAAAACAACAGAGTATTTAAGGTACTACTCATGAAAAGAAACGGGTGCGTGGCTGGCTCAGCGGGTAGAATATGTGACTCTTGATCCCAAGGTTGTAAGTTCGAGCCCCACAATAGGCAGTTTCTCTCTCTCTCTCTTTTAAGTAAACGAACAGGTGTAAGAATCCCTCGGGGCCACAGAGCAGTCTCACTGCACAGCAAAGGAATGCTGTTTCTAGTGAGTCTCAAGCAGGAACTGCTTTCCGGGTTACTGTTAACAGGCTCTTGCTCTCAACTAACTTCTCTACCAAGCAGCCTCCTTCAACAAGAAAACCAGGCCATTCCTTAGAATCCTGAGTCGAGTGTGGATGCCAGGCAACAATTCCAGCATCTTCCTCCTCGACCCAAATGCACACCTCCTGACCTCGCCGCTTCTGCCTCCTGCTAAGACCTCTGAGTCAAGATGGGCAGCCCCAGATTCTGGAAGTCTGCCATGCAAACTTCTCTCCTGAGCCCTGGAGAAACAATCTGGCCTCTGACAAAATGGGCTCTGAGAGAAGAACATTCTTAGAAACCTGAGCCCCTTATTAAAAGGGCCCAACCTGGCACTCTGTTAAATTTTGTTTCTCTGAAGGCAGTTCAAGAATAAGTAGGGGGGAAAAAATGCAGAGAGAGAAACCAGGGATCAACTGTCTGTCTACACTAAACCTATTTCCAGAACATTCATAGTTGGTATAAACTTTTATTTAGGTGCTTACTTGGGGAAAGATGTGCCTTCCTCTCTTAATTCAGTTACTGAGAGGAGACAGATACTAAAACGTTTTCGGTAATACTTAGTATTACACAAATACTACAGGCCAAGGAACAGGTGCCTGTCAAGAGAAACGCCCACAAAGTCACAGTGACATCTCGAGGGAAGCAGGGAGAAAGCTCCAGGGAAACCTCTGGAGACCCAGATGACCCCCTTCGAGGGTCTGAGCGCTCCACAGGCCTTTTGAAGATGGGATCCAAGGGACCTTTGGAAAGAAGCTTCATCGAGGGCGCCTGGGTGGCTCAGTAAAGCATCTGATCTCAGTTCAGGTCACGATCTCATGGTTCGTAAACTCAAGCCCCAAGTCGGGTGAGCCCCATTCCTTTCTCTCTCCCTCTCTCTCTGCTCCTTGCTCACTTGCACCCTTCTCTCTCTCTCTCTCTCTCTCAAACAACAACACTATAAGAAGCCTTATCGAGTGGGGTTTCAAGCCTGGCCACCAGTCCAACTCCACGTGGGGCACAGAGCGTCCAGTCGCAGGGACCTTACCCCTTAAAGAAAACACAGGCAAGTGCCGCGTCCTCTCCTCCAGTCTTGGCCGGGGAGCAGTCCAAGTGACAGCCACGCGTCCAGGAACCAGAACAGTGTCCACCCGCCCTGCCCTCCCCCTGAAGGTTAGTAAGCTGCAGTCAAGGCTCACCTCACAGTAAGCAAATTCTGCACGTGCCCGGCCCTCCTCCACCCTCCCTGCTGGCCAGGTCTCCCCACCCCCCACTCGACACAGGGCCCAGCTCTGCGCTGCGTCCCCTGGGTCACAAAACCACACAGCAGCGGCTCCCAAAAATACAGGATCTGCTTGCCACGAAGTAGCACCCGCCACGGCCACAAAGAGCATCTAGAACTTCTGCTAAAAATAAGCAGTTATTATTTTTCTTAATGTTTATTTCAGAGATAGAGCGAGCACGTGCACGCACAAATGTGGGGGAGGGGGAGAGGGAGGGAGACGCAGGATCCGAAGCGGGCTTCATGCAGACAGTAGAGAGCCTGATGCGCGACTCGAACTCGCAAACCACAAGATCATGACCTGAGCTGAAGTCAGACGCTTAACCGACGGAGCTACCCAGGTGCCCCCCAAAATCAGCAGCTATTAAAAGCATGCACACATTGTACAAACACCTGATTTCTTCCATTTTCAGGAAGAAAGTCCCTCTACCCAATCAAAAACTAAGGCCACACTGCATGCAAGGCCTCTGTTCAGAAAATTGCCATTTTTAGGAAATGAGAGGAAAGGGGGGGGGGCAGTAGGAAAACCTGGGCGTCCTATTTCTAATCATCACTAGCTTTTAAACTGCTTTCGCTAACCCTGTAACTTCCAAGAGCAAGATGCTTCTCTCCTGTGGTCGCAGTACATTCTACCGGATTCGGACACCGCTTCCCCAATTTAATAAGGGTGTGCACTTCTCGTTAAGAGCAGCTAGAAAGAAGTCAAAAATAAAGGCGAGCATTAAATATTACGTAAGGTTTTCTTTTATTTAAAAGATCATTCACAAAATACCATATCCATAGATTTACTTTCTGTCATATAGCTGAATGTGTTAAGTGTTTGGAATTCCATTCTTACATTTAAAAGTCAACTGGGATTGATTGCCCAGAAGTTTAGATGAATTTGTTTTGTTCTTAATCTTTTCCACATTGAAGATGTAAGTAGGTCATCTGAAAGCATCAGGTTTGATTACAACCACATAATGCATGTCTTTCTTAAGTTAAGTATTGGTGTTACACAAATGGTTCTTATTTCGGAAGCAGAGGCGGCAGGTGAAGGAAGGAAAGGAGAGAGAGTTCTGTAGTTGCTGAGACCCCGGGACCGAGACCCAGTGAGAGAAGCCAAGGACGCCAGCTAGAGAACGACCTCTCACCTCCCCCCCCACCCCCAAATGGCAGGTCTCTTCCCTGGGCTCTAGCTGCTGGCGGCCCCCAAACTGCTCCCAAAGGGACGGTCTGGGACTCGCTGCTGAAAAACCCAGGTTGCTCACACACACGGGCGTTTAGCTCAGAAGCTACGGCCCAGCCCCCCTGGCCCTGGGTACGTGCCAAACACAGCCTGTGGGGATAGGCAACTGTGCCCCAAAGAGGAGACCTGGGGACTTACAGCCACCTACCAGCTCTCTGAAGGCTCTTGACAGCCCTGCAGAGTAAAACCCTCAATTCATCAAGTCCAACAGTAAAGTGCCAGATTTTAGGCCCATTTTCATTATAAAAGTCAGGGAGGGCGGGAAGCGCAGTATCCCACTGCTACTTACGCGAGGAGCAGACACAGGTAAACACAAGGGAGAGACAGGGACACACACACGACGGGGTCTGAGGAGAGTCCGCGTCCGCACGGGGAGCACGGCCCAGGCGCGGCTCGGCCACCACTGCCCGTGGGTCCCCCCGGAGCGCCCTGCCCAGACGGGAGACCGGATGGAGGCTCGGCGCACCCAGCCACCCACGGGAGCCTCCACCTCCGCCGGGGAGGAGGGGACGAGCTTGCACGACGTGCTGACCCAGCCATCCTAGCATGCGCGCGGAGGTGCGCTCGGCCCCTGGCCCGTCCGCTGAGCTGCTCACCGACTCACCCTACCACCCTCTTCCCTCAGATTCCACCTTTGAAAGGAGAGCCTCCGGCTCGAATGATCCATTCGGGGAGGGAGTGACAGAGACAGGGCTGCTTATAAATAGGGACAGGGAGGAATCTGCAAGGATCAACAGATATTTCATCCTTGTTTTGAAAACAAGGTGCCTCAAATTCTCTCTGTTGACCACAGCTGAATAAAAACAAGATGCTACCCAATTTGTGACTTCTTTCTGTTTTTTGTTTTGTTTTGTCTTTTTCCTTCCCTTGGAAGCCACAGCAATACAGAACTCCACATGCAGGTCAGAAGAGAAGCACTGAGAAAAATGAAAGGACCAACCGGGTGTGGCCAGAGTGTCCAAAGTAAAACGAGAAAGCAGGGGGAGAAAAATGGAGCAGCACCTCCATCCTAAGAACGCCCACGGGTGGCTGCCTCTGTCCCTCGAGAGAGACTCAAGTACTGGAAGGAAACAAGGAGCAAGAAGGAAAAAGGACAGAAGGAAAATGGGGGAAGGACTGGCAGAGAAAGAAAGAAAAAAAAAAAAAAAGCACAAAACAGGCACTAGATAGGTTCAGCAAAGCCAAGAATGTACTAAAAACCACTTGTTAACTGCTGACATGCACTCACAAGCTCTGTGTTTCCGCTGTAAGAAAGGAGGACAAAGGTCAGGCGCAGGAATGGTGACTGCAGGACCGCTGGTCCAGGGGGCTAGCCAGGCTGTGGTCTTGCTGTGACTCCCCCACACCCCATTCCCTCCCAACCGCGAGCTCATTCTTGCTCCTTGTTAACGACTTCCTCTCTGGGCCTGGCTCCCCCGAAGATGGCAGAGTTGGGATTGGCTACTTGATTGAGGGGCGTGGCAACTGTTCGAGGCTTCAGCTGGAGCCGTGGCCTCTGTGCTCTTTCCTCTGCGGGAGAGAAACCAACGTGGTTTATGAGAAAAGGACCCCACATTCCCCGCCCGGGTGGAATGATCCGACTGAGGCCAGCCCCTACAGGCCAGCCCATTTTCTAACCATCAGGCCAGCCCTGAAGACCCATCCCATCCCCAGACGCTCTGACAAAGGCCAACTTGCTACTGAAGACTTAAGGGGCGGGCCACAGAAGCCACCGTCCGTGGCACGAGAAGGCGTGTGTGTGGGGGGAACAGCCAGCGCACCGGGGCAAGACAACCTCCACCCACAAAGCATCACCGTACCTTCTGTTGGTTCTCTGAAGTCCATATTGGACCCTCGAAGGGGAGGGCCATCTCTGAACCGACTCCCCATTGGGGGGCCTGTTCGCCGGTCACCTGGGCGACTCCCTCCCCTGCCTCCTAAGAAGTCATCCCTGAAGCCTGAAGGAGGAAGAGGACACCGGATTACTTTTTAAGCTACCGTCTCAAAAGCTGACTGTGCAGCTGGCGTGGACTGTTCAATTTGAATTCTTTAGTTTGTCCAACATCGGAAGTTTTTGCAAAAGAGTGCATGGGGTCCAAATGAGAATGTGCTGGGTAATCTCAATGCTAACAGACGTTACACTTCTTACGAAAGAAAAATAAAGCGAGCTGTTTAAACAAACCTCATCTTGCAGGAAAAGTGGCGGAAACCCCACCCCCTACCTAAGACTATAAAATAAGGCTCGTGACAAACAAAAATCCTCAAAGCCCATCTTATTGTGTCTTCTAATATAAAGCCTCTGATTATTAAAAAGATAAACCTGAAATGTGAAAGTTACAATTTAGAATGCGACACCCAAGAAAAGCCCAGACACGAAGACAGAATAAAAATACGAGGCCACCTCTGGGTGACGCGCCCCGCTTGTCTTGTCTCTGTTGTGTGGCGGGTGTGCAGCACTCTAAAAGCTCGGCACCCGTGTGGTCAACAAGGCAGTTACCCGGCAAGGCTCACCCCCTTCGCAGAGCGGGGCTCGCAGAGGAGCAGAGCACCTCGCTCCCAACCTGCGCCACCTCCGGGGGCTGCGAGGGGGAGGAGAGGTTTCCTCCCCATCCCTGCGGGTATCTGCTGGAACCCTCAGCAAAGTAACTGTCACGACAACGGTCAGGAGTGTTCCGACTCTCATCCGTCTGTAGAGAAGACAGTTTTCTCCACAGGCTTTGAGAACCGTAAGTTTTCTTCAGTTCTGTATTTCATGGAAGGACTTTCATCTAGAGGGGGTTTAAGCTGACTAGCCTTTTAACAGTACTGCCTACTGAAGGGAGAGTGAGCTTCCGGTAAAAATTTAAGAAATAATATTGTAATTAAACAAACCAGTCCGCCCCCCCCAGCCCCCAAAGGTGACCACTTTTACTCGAAGGACGGTGCCACTGCTCAAAGCTCTGGAGGAACATCTATCTTCCAGAAGGATCCTGAGCCTGAGGAATATTCTATATATGGTCCATCCGCATCATCCGTAGATTTCGTATCTGCCCGTTTGTCGACTCACTAGCCTTTGTATGTAACCCTGAAATTAAATCTTTTGGCCCTTCTGCTCTTCCAGACATGCACAGAGCAGTGGAAATCTGAGTCGCCCAACATGCGTGTCTCTCGGCTGAGGTCCAACAAAGCAACACTCTGCCTTCTTGTTTCAGCTCAGACCATAAACAAGTGTCTTTTCAAACTATTCGGTGCCAGGTTTTTGCTCTTTTGGGCTTTTCTTTGGCAATTTCACTGTTTAAAGTGGCCCCGCACATAGAGCTGAAGAGTCGTCTAGCATTCCTAAGTGCAAGAAGGCAGTCCCGTGCCTCACGGGAGAAAACACGTTAGATAAGCTCCATTCGAGCAGAGTTCTGGTGCTGCTGGCCAGGAGCTCCTTGTTAAACAAATCAACAGTACAGGTGACATTAGGGGTCTTTAAACAGAAATACACGCAACAAGGTACGTACTGATCACTCGACAAAATATTGGGACCAGAAGCTCACAGGAATCGGACCCTGTCGTTTCCCCTGGGAACAATGGTTCGGTGTCTGCTCATCTGGGGTTCTCAGTGATTCTAAACTTAACTCCCCTGAATATGAAGACTCAACTGTTTGCAAGGGTGGTATTTTTCTGTTAAGGGTGGCCAAGGAATTTGGAAAGCGATCAAGTTATCTGAAACCCAGCTCAGAAACTGAGTTGGACAGTACCAATTTTAACCAAACAAGTAATTAAAACAATCCACCCCTAAAAGATTCAGACCAATAGGAGCACTGATTTGGGGAAAACATATTGGGATGTATACAGTCAGGTAGAAGGTTCTTTATAGAATCTTTTAAACCAGAGCTTACGCTGTTTATTCAACAAGCTTAACTGAGATTCAAACCTCTGACTGACATCTCCCCCAATCAACTGTGAAGCGGACCTTTCCGTGGGAGTACAAAAGCTACTCCCCTAGGAGAATAAATTTTGCGACCAGTGTAGCAGAAATCAGCTCACACCCGCACTGACAAGGCAGGTAAGCACGACTGCTACTTAGTCCGGATGCACCCAAGTAGGACAGAAGGGAAAAAACCCAAAACAACAGAAACAGCACGCATCCACAGCCAGTGACCACCTCATTTCAAAATCTCTTACGACAGGAGCAGGCGAAGATTACGAGGGAAACGCAAGGTCTGACATTACCAAGTATCTTTTAATGAAGTTTGGGGACAGATTTTTAGGAGGCACACCGTTCACAAGAACCTTCCAAGTTTTTTTGTTTTTTTTTTTACTTTAATGTACTTGGCTACCTCTGGGGGTGGGACTCTGCTTTCTTCTATTTTTTGGTATTGCTCGAATCTTTTTACAACAGTGTATGTCATTTAAAAAACAGCATCATTTTGAAGAGCAAAAAAGATCTACGTTCACAAATAACGGACACAAGCATCACTCCACCATGCGGGCACTTCTGGATTCAGACACCTCCAGACCCTGCAGTTTATGCTGAACCCGGTGGGTGGCGAGGGAGTTTCTCTGGCTGTGCTCTCTGCTTCAGAGAGTAAAAGTCCCAGCGAGGGCAACAGTTCCTTAGGTAACTGCCACAATTCCAGAGCCTACACACTCAAGTGCTATTCCTACACTCCCAGTGAATTCAAAACCGGCCGGTCCCAGGCCACCACTCATCAGGCCACTAACGGCTGCACTCAGATTGACTTTGAGAAGACATTTGCTGCGTGTTTCAATCAGAGACTAGCTTATACATAAAATTACAGGTTTACTGGATCATACTGTACTTTTATGAATAAGCTCATTTCTGATTGGCTACAGGATTTTTAGGATTAAGTAATTCGACAGATATAAGCGGTCACCTGTTTAGCCAAAGTAGCACTGGAAATGCACTCGTAAAAATTTTGGTCTTCAACAGCTTGTGCCAGTTCTTCCCATACTTACCAAACACTATATGCCGAATTTTGTTTGATGGGGGAGGGTGACAGGGTGGTTGGGTGGGGCACTGATGTTATCCTCACATACAGTGGAGAGTGCAGAGTTTATAGAAAACAGACTACTTCCTCATTTTTTACCTGTTACAACTGACGTTTTGATCACATATACAATTTATTTTTGTTAAAAAAACAAAAAAACAAAAAGAAAGTAAAGAGATGATCAACCCTTCAAAGCAGAGGCCCGACATGCAAACCGACCTCTTAAGGGGAGACAAGGAGGCACCTGGTGGTCTGCCTTGGTAAGTTAAGAAAAGGAACAGAGCAGATCGTGTCCACCAAGAAGAGATAGGAGTTCCATGCCCTTCAAAAAAACAAACTGGTCACCACGACTTTAACCATGGAAGAAGGAGCCACCAAGAACCACGGTTACGAGGCTTTCTGTAAGCTTCCAAAACCCCCCCCACTTTGTAGAAGTAACAGTGCTTCTATTTACACAGAGCAGCCAAGGGGATTCCTTAGACAAAGGCCAGATGGGAACTATAGGCTGAGGCATCGTAACAAAAGGAGGTGAGTCGGTCTAACTCGCCCACAGTGTGGAACCTCTCAAGTCCTACACCGAACATTTAGGTTCTAACAGAGGCTTACTGCATGCCTGGGCATCTTTCAGGGAAGTTTCACTTGCGGAATGAACTAAAGGAGTAGTCCGGCCAGGTGGGCTACGTCCACAATAAACGTACAACAGCAGCAAGGCCATTGAAAAAGGTTAAGTGGTGATACTTTAAATACTGATACCGGAATTGAAGTCATCCCGGGAATCCCATCCACCTCTAGATTCTCGAGAGCCACCCATTCCTGAGGACACACAAAAAAGATAAAGGTGAGGTCGTACCATTACCCTGCTGCACACACATGGCAAAATTCTTTGGGAAGAATCACTCATGTGATGAGAAGTTCAAAAGAATTGTAAGAGTTTTTGTTGCCAATAGGAAAAAAACAAAAAACAAAAAAACAAAACAAAAACAAAACCCAGGCTTGTGGAAGCACCATCCATTCTAAGATTTTTCCACGTTTTTAAAAGCTCACAAAAGCCTATCAGACCGGCAAGATAATTCTAGTAGCCTTCAACAGTTGTAACCAGTGGGCATACAGTAAGTGTTATGTTCAGTTTTAGAAGAACCAATCACCTCTGTCATCTGGTCCACCTTTCCTGAAGCCAAAGCCACCTTTATCCTGTTTTCTGCCTTCTGCAATGTCCACACGAAGCGACCGATCACCCAACAGCTGATAAGGGGAAAACAGTGTAAGTATAGGCAAGAAAAACATCTCAGCTGCTGACACAACACAGAAAAACTGAAGATACTTACTGCACCATCATATGTCAAGGCTTCCTTAAGGGAATCCACCTCATCAAATTCTACATAGCAGAAACCTGTAAGAGAAACAAATCCCAATTTCCTCAAGGAATTCTGGGTTAAGACACAGTGGGATCCCCGTCTCTCCCATTTCCCCACTTTTGTTGCATCTAAGTGACAGCAGGCTAGCAGAGCCCAAAAGAGAGATTTTACTTTTCGGCAAACAAAATACTTGACTGGTATTCCTCCCTCTCAATTATACTCTACCAGAAAGTGCCCACCAGGTATTGAAACGGCAGCTGTTTTTATAACGCTTTCTTTTTAGAAGTTTTAACCATGACATTAGAGCCTTTCCTGGGCCACTGAAGAGCTGACTTCTGAATGACTTTAGCTTCTCCCTCAACCTCCAACAGTTTCCACGCCCCTTCCTCCTCGCAGCCTGGAGTCTCAGTCTGCACTCGGCACACCCCTTGCCCCACTTTGCTCACACTGCACCCTGTACCACACCACACCCTCCCACCGCACCCCGAGTGGCCCCGTCCCGTGTGATTACACCTCACCTTCAAGGCCCACCAGACTACAAGTGCTCTGAAGGCTTGGGTCCAAACTCTTCCTGTTCACCATTTCCCCACCAACTACTTACAACAAGAAGGTACCGCTTGGCTGGAAGAGTCCCCCTGCCAGCCCCCCTAAATGGATTCACAATGGTCTAGAGTACTTGTGGAAACCACCTCCTGTGCTCAAAGAGGTCACAAGAGCCCGGTCACCCATCTCACACCTCAGAGCTGCGGAGGGATGACCCTCCGTCTGATGTAGAAACGAAAACCTGCTGCTACTGACTCAGCCTGAAGGCTGGCCTTGACCACCCGTTCCTCCCCTCCCCCAGAAGCCCGAATTCCTAGCGCATCTAGGAGGCACACTGGGTGGGCCTGACTTTCACAGGCTGAACAGGTACGTTTACTTCTGTTGTTAGAGCACTCGTTATTAACAAGGCTTCCGGTTCTAAAGCCAAGAACACTTCCAAAACGGTAAAAGCGCCACCTATACACAGAACTGCTCGGATGAGCAAAACCTCTGCTTCTCGCACAGCTAGTACTTCTCCTTGGATGTTCTTCTGGATAAATAACGTGAACCGCATGCCCTTGTACCTCGCGCCATGCCCTAAACAGAGAGCACGTTTCCCTTCAGGGACTCCGGAGAGCTAGATGATGATGCTCTCGTGACTCTTCCTGCTTCCCGGCTCACGTGCCTTGAAGAGACTAATCTACAGACACAAACTTTACCCAAAATTTGAGCCAACCCTCTCCCAGACACGCTCCCAAATCACAAAGATACAGTGATGATATTTGTGAGGTTCTCTTCTGAATTCTGTACAAATACTTTAGATCACAGGAAAACGACAAAGAAGAAAGCCATGCATCGGTGAAGGGGAGATGCACCGGCAAAGTCCTCTGTTCTGTCTGTTCATCTCTCTCCCGGGGAACTCCTTTACTGGCAGACAGGACTGCCAGTCAGGCAAACAGCACATTTACTCGGGCATATATTGCACATTTCTACAAATAAGATCACGTGTAACACATTTTCCCCCAAGTAGAACCGAAAGCCTCATGGGTTAAAGGGCTATGCGGGTTTCAGCTACTTGGATAAACACTTCCACAATTAAAGCCCTCTGGTTCCCCACCATTTTGGTTCAGACCCTCCCTCTACGAGAATATACAGTACGGACTCCCCCAAACTCACCTTTAAATTTGTCTGTGTCTTTGTCTCTGACTAGCCGTACACTCCGTATGCTGAGATCCTTGAAGATAGCGTCTATGTCGCCCTGAACTGTATTAAAAGGTAGGTTTCCTACATATGCTGTGTAGGGGGGCTCTGTGGGCAGCTCCTTCTGGCTACGGGAACCATGGCCACCGGCACTGCCGCGGGACCTGGAGGGGAAACAGACAGGATTCAAGTCTACTTGTCCCAGGGCGGGGACAAGGGTAATGTCTTCCGCTCAGCCGTACCAGTCATGTGAATGACTCCACTTGATTGTACAACAGCATCTTGAAATTATCGAGAGTATCCCAAAATACCACTTATGGAAAGGGTACCTATCGTTTGGTGACAGAAACGTTATTTCCTACTTACTTAGACTCAGTATCTGCGAAATGCTCATGTCCTAAAACCTTAGCAAACACCCTCCCTCACACCTGGCAGCTAACACACGCAGAGATGGACCGTCCAGACTTATCACACTGTGTTCACAGGAAGATTTCCAAAGCTGCTCCAAGTTTAACCCATTCGTAACACACCTGCTCCCTGCTGCTGTCAGATTATGGATAACACAAGCTGGGGAAGGGCAGAGAGAAAGGCGGACAGAGGATCCGAAGCAGGCTCTGCGATGGCAGCAAGAGCTCGATGTGGGGCTGAACTCAGGAACCGTGAGATCATGACCCGAGCCAAAGACAGACGCTCAAGCAACGAGACACCCCAGGTGCCCCTTAAAACTCCTCTCTTAAAGGAGTTGCCTCACAACACAGATCTGCTCAAAGCCATCCTTTTCGCAGGGGAAGCATCAATACAAGTCACGGAAAGTAACTTGGTTTTTGCTAGGGATAACATGAAAGAAATCCGCCATCTTTCTTGAGATAAGTATCATCCTTTATGACATTTTCTTAGCAGAAGAACAAAATCACGATGTAATTCTTAGATGGCTAGAATTAAGCTTAGTAACTCAAAATTCTGCTACTTCCCAATAGGAAATTCTACATTTTGTTTTCAAGTGAACTGCATCCCACCTGCTCTCACTCCCCCCACCCCACCAAGGTGAGTAAATGACTTGTTTTTGCGCTTCAATACCCTTCACAACGCCACTTTTTGGTTTTTTTTTTAAAGTTTATTTATTTTTGAGAGAGAGAGAGAGAGAGAGAGAGAGAGCAAGAAAGAGGAAACGAACCAGGGAGGGGCAGAGGATCCAAAGGAGGCTCTGCACTAACAGCAGAGAGCCCGATGTGAGGCTTGAACTCATGAACCCCAAGATCATGACCTGAGCCGAAGTCAGATGCTTAACCGACTGAGCCACCCAGGTGCCCCTGCAATACCACTGTTATTACCTCAATAACCCGAAGCCCTAAAATACTTTCAACGAGATACTCTGAGACTGAATACCGACTATATAAGATACAATAGATGCAAACTTTTGAAAAACTATCAAAGCACACGATGAATTACAATTAATAACTTGAAAATCATCTGTTACTAAACGTCAGGTGGAAACAGTCCTTTGCCCTCAAGCAGCTCAAGGTGAGCGGCACGTGTAAGACACAAACAACTACATTGGCACACACTGCCTGCATGTTTGTGTGTATATGTACGTATATACAGAAGGTGAAAAGCCACAACGATTTTTTAAAACCTTAAGGTGAAGGGGAGAATGGAGAGCTGGTAAATTCAGCAGGTGTATGTCTGATGACTCGGGAAAATGGAGGAAGGAAGGCTTGCTCAAAGGACACATGGAACATTTACAGAACTTATGCAGGGCCCAGAAGGTGGAGTCAGGGCTCTGAGTTCAGGCAGCCAGGTGAGCCTGGATAAGGACCAAGGGAAGGAGGGTAGGTACTGTTAATCAGATGGCAGGGGCATGAAGAAGAAAGCCGCAGGATAAGAAGCAGTTTCTGGCTTTGGGGAAGATGGCAGAATCCTGTTTCAAGCAAGCAGTATTTTAAGAGCTAGACATGTGGAAACAACCAACCCAGCCCATTAACCTGCTTATTTCACCAGAGCCTCACAAAACTGCCAGCGGCTTACTATTCCAGATTTTCCCAAGAATCACCACAGTCACCCTGCATACTACCCTATGTGACATAGTTCTATGGGACTTCAGCATGTCTTACAGGACAGGGCAGCTGGACTGCCTGTAATTTGCCTTCAAATTTACTGTCTCCGACGGTTACAAAGCGAGAAGAGTGGAAGTCTCCAGTGTGCCAGCAACTTGAGACCACGGCGAGGGGACAAACCCCAGAGAGTGCATATGCATGTAATAAAAGGATACGTCCAGTCAGCAACCCACCGAATAAAAAAAACCCCCAAATGTCGGCAAATTCTGAGCGAAAACTCCCATGATACCTTTTGACAGTAACTGAAGTTTACAAGAGACTATTGTCTAAAGCTGTGTTACTCAAAAGCACTTTCTAAAACAGGTTAAAAACAACACAGGCAGAGAAGACTCATTTGACACCTTTCTCAGCTTGGTGTAGAACCTCTTCCAAATGACCTCTGTCTCTCTCAGTTTCCTCGTCTGTGACTTCGTAAGTGTCTCAAATCTTTCTTTTACAAAGTTTAAAACCGACCATAAAACAACTCATAAATCCTGATTGCTTTATAAAAGTTTAGTAACAATCCAAAGCATTACAGGAAGACTAAGCACGCTCCAGGCTACACTGCTGTGCAGAAGCGGGTGGACAGGCTGCCGTGGATACAGAACAGATGAGCCAAAGAGCAGGCCGGCCCCCCATTCAGAACAGACACCTGAAGGTCTGCGCTGCAATCCCCCAGGCTGTATTGCACCCCCTCCACTCAGCATCGATCCTTCCGGCTCATTACTGCTTCTGCTATCCCTTAGGGACAGTCCACTGCTTTTTAAAATAACATATTCAAGTTTTAAAGTTTGAGACAGAGAGCAGGGGAGAGGCGGAGAGAATCACAAGCAGGGTCCACACTGCCAGTGCAGAGCCTGAGGTGGGGGCTTGAACTCACAAACCGTGAGATCATGACCTGAGCCAAAATCTAGAGTCAGATACTTAACCAAGTGAACCACCCAGGCGCCCCAACATATGCAAGTTTCAAAGTAATAAATTACAACCTCGGTTAACTTGGGAAATCCAAATTTCAACTCCAAGCATGAACAAAATCCTTTACAGAAAAATCACTTTTCTTTACTGAAATCATGTCTATGAGGTACAGAGGGCACAAACCTAAGGCCCAGTCCCTGCCCTCAAGGAGCCGATAATCCAACTGACAGGGTCCCGGCATCTAGAAAGGAGAAATCAAAGACTGCAGGCAATCTGGGAGACAGCCACAGGGAGCAGGGTCTGCAGGGGTGAACAACAGGAACCGGGACCCTTGCGTTCCCACAGCACACAGGGAAACGCTGACCTAACAAGCTGGTTTGCTGTGAAGAAGCCTGTGGGAGGCAAGGAGCCTGGAGGGAGGGTTGACTGTAAGAAACAGATAAGACAATAGAGTATTAGGGCTGGGATCAGAAGTAGATTCAAGAGAAAAGTGCTCCAGGCTTACTTTCCAAGTATGAGGGATAAGAAAAAAGGAGGGATGCACGCTAAGCTCTTTTCTAGGAAAGGGTTTTATAAAGACTTCCCAGAGGCCATCAGAAGCCACACCATAATTTAATCACTGTTGCTGTTCCTCTTGAAAAATCAAGAGGGAAGCCAAGATACCCAAGTACAGAGTATTAACCTCTCTGGGGTATTTGCAACATTACATGTTCTCCTATTAAGTCTAGGTTAGGGACACAGTATCCTTAGGGCTGATCAACAACTCTGGTCTTTTAGGTCTCTCACATTCCACCCAGAAATACATACTAGCATATATTACACTGTTTCACGCATGACACCATGCTGGATCCTGTATAAATATCCCCAAAAAGATCGCCTTTGTAAGATTAAAATACAAGGAAACAACAAAGTCCACTGAACATGCTTTAAAAAAAAAAAAAAAAAAAAAAAAAAAAAAAAAAAAAAGTCATGGTTATGATGTGCAACCCATTTGGTTTCTAGAAAATAACCAAAAAAAGGTTGAGCTCTCAAAAGCCAGGCCCTCATTTCAGTTTTATCTTACCTACTACTAACATCTTACATTACCAAAATACACTAATTAAAATCACTGAACCAATATCGACACTTTACTAAAGCTCAGTTTATTCAGATTTCCTTAGTTTCTACCTCAGGTCCTTTTTCTGTTCCAGGAGCCCATCCAGCGCCCTATTACATTTTAGTTGTAATTGAGGTTTTTAAAAACTAGCCCCAGACAACTTGGATTAAAAGCATTTCATTTCCAAGTAGATCTCCCTCTCCTAAATGTATGCAGTCTCCAAGGCCTTCAATCAGCATTCACAATTAAACCCCTTCATCTTGATAACTGGCATTACTGAAGGATGGGCAAGAGAGCCTGTGGATGTTTCTGATCAACCCTGGGATCAATGATGAACTCTTCAATGAACCCTTTCTCAAAGAGCTCTTTTCTGCTGTGAATGGTTATCTTCATAATTCAATCCCATCTGCAGGATTAAAAAACCCTTGCAGGGAAACGCAAAGTAGTTCTAAGGCAGGAATTCTGTCTCCAGAACTATTACGGTCTCTGGTACTCAGCAGGGGTGGAAGGAATGAAGACACAGGCCTAGCAACGCCTCCAGGATCACAAATAACTTCTTCCACTAACATGAATATTCTT